ATGCATTGAATCCTTAATGGCAATAAAATGTAATGCGATGGACTCGCATGTTGAAGGATTTAGCGGCCTGAGTGACAATACAATCAGATGTAAGTAATTCAAAATCGATAATAATAATGCCTAATGATACTGCTTACCCAATCCTGACGTTATTTTCCAAACAGACAATATCAGAATCTGGCGTCTCGTGTTCCAAAAATTTCTTTATGAAATCTGCGGTCAATAAATAACGGAAGACAATAAATACCAATGAACAATGGTTTTTATAAAACGACTTTCCAAATCTACCTGCTTCCTCCATAAAAGGTTCTGACTGGTTCGAATGGCTAACATTCATAAGATCCGCTGATGTTTGTAATTTCGCGGATGCCGGGATTGATATATTTTTAATCGCCCTAAACGAGATCATTTCATTAAACTAATATAGCTCGTCCGAAACAAATCTGAAATCAGTAATACACAAATAAAACTGTTCTATATACTTTTCGTTCGGTCGCTTCTTATTGGGAACTACCACAGTAAACCTTCTAACATGTTTTGATCTGTTGACGAAAAAAGCGTGTATCGTGAAAGGTTTTCCTGCGACAACCCTTGAACCAACTGATAGTAAAGAGAGCGCAAAATTCGTCATGAATAGCCAATGACATTCTAAATAAAAATTATTATTGACCATTTCACTAAATTTACCTAAAAATGAAACTACGATTCCGTCACCAACTTCTATTTCTGCAGGTCTTGAATTCGTTGGTGCACGACCGCCAGAAAGTATCCCATTAGACATGTTATCAAGATCAGGTATGGGGGGTAAATTGGTAATTTGTTTTTTGCCGCGTCCATTTTGATCTAACCCTCCCAAATAGAAATTTCGATTTGCCGTTGGTGTTGTCGAGCCTGTTGATGAAAATACGGCGGTACTTCTAGATGATGATCCATTTTTTGATGTAGAAGATGGTGCTCTTTGATGATTACTGTAATTGTAATTCGGTATCGGTAAAGGCAAATTATCTTCACGTCGTCGCAAATTAGTTAAATCGAGCACGCAATTCCAACGTGACTCAATACTCCGGCTTTTTACCCCATTGAGAATGGGAGATCCCCTTGCAACGATTGAAACATGCCGCTGACGTTCCTCTGTATTTGGGTTGCCTAAAGAATTTAATGAAAACACCGAGGACACAGACGTACGACGAGATGATGGTCGAGAGTTGGGATGAGGTGGGGGACAATGTTGTGGTGACAACTTTGGAAATGAAGGATCGTCTAATATTGTTATACTATATAGGAATGTTACTTGATCAACAGGGTTAAGTGTTAAAGGAAATTTATCCTGGTAAATCAAAGAAATTAGTTATGTAATCTCATTCGAGGATGTCAATCTCATAATAAATCACAAGTACCAATTTTTTATTCGTTTGTTCCCAGTTGAATCTTGTGACAAAACCATGTGCA